ACTATAGTGAACAATGCTATTTGCACCCGGGTAACTATAGTGAACAATGCTATTTGCACCCGGGTAACTATAGTGAACAATTATATTTGCAACCTGGAGATCACAGAGAGGGCCATGGCTCACTGCGGCTCCGGAGAGGTCCTGATAGTGGGGGGCGTTGGCTGTAAGTGCACCAGACCTGTTCACAGGACATACAGTGCTATGATTTACTTCACTGATTTATAACTGATCACTTTTTTAATGATATTGTTCAACACTACACTATTACTGTTGATCAGAAACTATACTATAAAGCATTTATTACATGAAATATGTTTTTATTAAATTATCTTTGACATGCCATACTATACATTTTTAGGACTTTTTTAACACATACCACCCTTTGACTTTTTTACGACATACTATGAGGTTTTTATGAAATGTTTCTACATTTAATACAATGCTGAGGACTTTACTTATGAAATATTATTTTATGCCTTTTTATGACATACTAAGCTGAGACATTTTTATGACATACTTAATTTTTATTCAATTTATATGACTTAGATTACTATGAGTTTGTAGGACTTTTATTATATACTATGATCTCATATGCTTTTAATGACCTACTACACTATGACTTTTTTATGACATTATTTTCATGACATACTAATAACTATACTATGATATTGTTGACATTTGTTATGACATACTATAACACTTTTTTCTTTACGACACTCTTTTGAATGACTTCTCTGACATTCTATATTATGACATGATCATGTGACCCCCTGGTTCCTCTGTAGGTAACCTGCGTCTGCAGGAGATGATGGGGGTGATGTGTAAGGAGAGAAATGCCAAGCTTTTTGCCACAGATGAACGGTAAACATTCAAATGACAATAGATTCACTTTAGATTCCCACGAATGAGCAATAGGTTGAAGGTCCCTGGACCAAAACTTAAATTGCTCTAATCTTTGTAAACATACACTATTACTGGGTCACAAAAACTCAAACTCAGGACGCTTTAACTGACCCTATCCTGCAGTGTTTTTGTCCCATATCTGTTTAAATGATGTTTACATCAAATTGAATCATTGCTTTTGCATTTTAAATATTATTTACAACAAACCACAAACACACTGCTTGTTTCCCCTCTCAGGTGCTGTTATTTGCATACAAATAATTAACTTAAGTTGAGAAATCCATTATGATAAACACATTGTCTAAAATAAAGTCTTGTTTGATGTCAGGTAGTTTCAGACACCGTGAAAAATATTGATCAGTATTGTAACATCGCCCTATAGTTCCTATAGTCAGTCGCACCATTGTGTTCCAGGTTCGGTCCAGATAACACTGTTCACTTTGTACCACAGGTTCTGCATTGATAACGGAGCGATGATTGCTCAAGCTGGCTGGGAGATGTTTAGGTCCGGTCAGGTGACGGAGCTAGAAGACTCGTGGATTACTCAAAGGTAGAATTTTTTTTTTGTCTCTGTTTTGTCAAAAAAAAATCAACACTCTCCCAGCTAAAACACCAGCAGTATAGATGTAACTATTACCTTCAATCCTCCAGGGTGAATCATATTTCAAGTCAAACTAATTGAATTCATTATTTTTTATCCGTCCATTAACATTTCTGCTTTCATAGGTACAGAACAGATGAAGTGGAGGTGACATGGAGAGACTGAGTGACATCTTGGTGCTACACACGCTGCTGCAGCAGGTCTGTCGTAGGACTCCCCCGAAATATTAAAGCATTGTGTTAAAAAAGAGCCACAGATTTATTTTTTCATTTACTACGCTACAGTTTACTTGTTTAAAAGTAAAACATCATCATATTGCTGAGGCAACGAGTGTAACAGTGGCAGATGCAGTTTGAAAACATTACCAACCACACAGCTAAGCAGTTTGATTAAAAGGCAGGTCCACTTGCCATGAAGAACACTCCAGTTTCTTTTATGTTGTTATGTTCCACTTGTAATGTCAGAGGAAAATATGTTTTTTTTACTTTGCCATTATGTACAGCAATAAATCTGACCTTTTAAATAAATACAGAAAGAGTAGAAAATGTCAAGTTTATTCATTGTTTTGTTTTGACTCGTATTCCTCCTCTTTCTCCAGTGTATTTCTAAAATCAATATATTTTCCCCTAAAAATAATTTGTACATTATATACCTTATAGGTTTGAGTAACTTAATCAGGAAAGGAAAAAAACACAGCATTACGATCGGACAGTTAAAGGTTGGACTCTCTGTGTATATGTTATATTTTTGTTACATACAATACTTTGAAGTTTTTTTGACCCTTTCATCACCCCCCGTTACACTGGCTCCCTGCCCATCAACGAATACACTTAAAAAATAAATGAATCTAAAAATAACGAAAATCGGAAAAAAAGGACTTAGTATGTTGAAAACATCAGAAAACAACTACATAGTTTAGTACGTCGGAATGATGAGAAAAAGGACATACTATGTCAAAAAATAGGGAAAAACGACATTGTATAGTGTGTCAAAAAATCATAAAAACATGCCACGTTGAAATGAGAAAAAAAGACAAATCTAAAAAAAGCTGTGGTCCAGCTCTTTCTGTCGTAGAAAAGTCATTTATAATGAAGTGATTTAAAAAAAAAAAGATTTGTCCTGCACGTGTTGCAACACATTTTTACATTGATTGGAAATACTGGGTCACATGACAAAGAAGCTATTGAAACATATTGAGACTTCACACAGGCTTTAATTCCTTTGATACCCTTTACTATTACTTTGTAATAGTATACTTACTATTTGCTTCTATCCTTATGTCCACTAGGAGGCGGAGTTTCGCTGTAACAGGAAAAAAAGGAGCCAAAGATTCATTTTAACCCACCTCATTTTATTAAGCAAAGTATCAGAATGGTTTGCAATTAGTTGTTTAACAAATACAAAGAGAACTTAGGGAATGTAATGAACAGTAAGGGCAATACTGTTTGAGTATAAATGAACCAGAGATGAATAATCATAATAATGTGACTTATTACATGTTGAAGTGGTGCCTCTTACCTTTGTGACATGGGTGTGTGTGTGTGTGTGTGTGTGTGTGTGTGTGTGTGTGTGTGTGTGTGTGTGTGTGTGTGTGTGTGTGTGTGTGTGTGTGTGTGTGTGTGTGTGTGTGTCAGATGACTCCATTTGACAGCAGCTAAACAGTAGTGATATGACAGTGTTGAGAAAAATAAGACAAAACAAACGCCTTCACATCTATCTCTGGCTGCATGTGCTCAAGATGTGGTAACTATAGAACATTAATGAAAAAAACAAACATGTGACCTATAGTTACATAGCCAATCAGAGGGCTTAAAGCCAGCTAACCAAAATATATAAAACTAAATATATATATTATTAGCCCTCACAAATGAGCTCTGTATTTGGGGTCGGAATTGAACCAAAAAGTACACTGAGATACCCAACAAACTGTACTTCACGCTTGAAAAAGAAATGAATTGCACATCTGTTAATGGGGAAGGAAAGACTACAAAATTAACATCACTTTCTACATTAGAGCCGCTGCAGATTGGAAATCAAATTGCACAGTGCTCTTTAATTATATCTTGGGACACAGTATTATTACTTCTTTTTGAAAAATAACATTCACGAGCGTATAGAGTAGATCCATCTCTATTGTAAATATCTGGAAGTAACTATAAAAAAATAAAGATGGAAAATAAGTCAGTTTTGCCTTTTCAGGAGAGTTTCCCCCTGCTACTGATAACAACTCAGCATATTAACAAATACATCCACTGTACATATCAGACTCCAAAAGATATATACTGTCACCTCTTGTTAATGATTTACATCCAAAAATAAAATAAAATCTTTCAGTCAGTTTTTAAAGTGATCAGTAGAAACTTCAGAGGCTGGTGCGTGCTGCAACATTACAAGTCAGAAGTCAGAAGTTCACGCGCCGAGAGCAGAGCTGGTCTTTCCACAGTGTCTGACTACACTTCAGTTCTTTCTTTTTTACAGTGTCTTGCCATTTGTCTATCACAGCAGCATGGACTCCTGCAGGGCGAACGCCTCCTGTGCGGGCCTGTAGTGTGGCCCTCCGAACAGCTGGGGGAGCTGTTGGCGAAGGACGGGCTCCTGGAGTGGAGTCCTGTAGTGGAGCAGGGGCTCTGGGTTGGGGGGGAAAGTGAACTCCTGAACGGGCGACATTTGGGCTCGCTCGAAGCTGGGTGAGCGGGGCACACCACCTGGGGTATGAGGGGGCCGATCATCATCTGGAGCCCATGGGAGGGCCCCGTCTACAGGCCGCCGATGCCCCCCGCCTTCATGAAGAAAGTGTTGCTCACCCCTCTGATGCCCCTCAAACCTGTAGTCCACCGGGGTGTACACCTGTGAGGTGGAGGTGAGTTGCTGCAGGTAGATCGGGGTGGACCTCCCCTGGGTTTCCAGCTGCAGGGAGTGCTCTGGTGGGGGCCTCACATTTCGGGGGTTCCCCGGCGGCCCCCTGCGGTAGGTTGTGTAGCAGTTGTTCATGAGAATTTTCTCCGGGGAGGGGTTCTGGCGCTGGGTGGTGGCGTACGCTCGATCCCCGTACACCACGCTGGAGGGCGGGGTGAATCGGGAGGGAGGGGCGTAGAGTCGGTCCTCTCCCCGGGGGTCCCGGCTCACGCCGTAAGCAGGGTGGAGGATGGGAACTTCTGTTGTAGTTCTGCCCGGGGAGTACTGCTGGGGGGGGGTGCTGTACTGGCTGCCGGGGTACACCCTCCCTGGACTGTTGTTGGTGAACGCAGGAGGGTGATTGGCCATTCTCGACCCGGAGGCGACGGACACTGTGCTCCCGGCTAGGCTCGGGCTGCCCTGATGGAGGGAGGACACACTGAAGGGGGTGTCACTGCGAGGGGTCCTCATTCTGGACGGGGGTCTGTCAAGTTCCAGGATCTCGAAATCCTGCTCCGGCAGCCCCGGCACGTTGTCATACTGCGAGGCATTGGAGCCGCGGTTGGTGTCGGGGATGAAGCCCTTGGAGTTCGGGCGGCCGGGGGCCAGGGCGCTGTCCTCTGGGCTGGAGGGGGCCGGTGAAGCCCCCCTGCTCTGGTGGAAGTCCCGCGCGGCTGCCGCTTTCACCGCCTCCAGCTTTGTGTCTGAGGGTTTGAACCAGCGGGGGGTGATCTCTTTGCGGGAGCTGGAGGCTGCGTTGGAGTTGTGGTTGGCGGTGGCGTGGCTCTGAGGCTTCCCTCGATCCACCGGGGGTGTCGGGGCGGGGGCTGAGGGCGGTGGGGCCCCCCTTTCAGGTGTAGTGGAATGCTTCCGCTGATCATTGGGAATCTCCCCCGACCCTCTTGAGCGAGCGTCTCTTTTTTCAGCCTTTTGGTGGCGGATGGATTTCTCCAGCGAGCCCCGGCGTAAGCGGCTGGGGGGCCGACTGTCCTGCTGACGGACCGGTAGAGGACTCGGGTCCTGGGGGGGCTCCACAGGGTCGGTGTAGCTTTGCCCGTTGGCCACGTGGTTCACCACCACTTGGGCCACCTCAGGAGGAAGCTGCCCTAAAGGCTTCTTGGGATACTCATCTTCTTTACCTGCAAGATAAAAAAAAAGGAAACAAATTAGAGCGCCATCGAGAAACAAAACAAATGATGGTTTGACACACGGTGTGGTGAGTCACAAAAGGGACATGGATTCATGCAACACCACTGCCATAGAGAGGTAACACATAAAGGAGAAACACAATCAAATTTCCACAGGCAGAGCGAAGGACAAAAAACAAAATTAATTATTTCCCATCGTGCTGAAAGGGCTCATTAAGGAAGTGACAATCGATTGAGTGGTCGTTAAATGATGACTTTCACTTCATTTAATTAAACTGTACTTAGCTGCAGTACTAGCCCCAGACTTAAAAGGTCATGCAGACATAACTCTTGATTTATGAACCAAGTTACTGAGACTAATGAGCATTAAAGCCACAGAAATATGTCTTCGCTTAGACTTGTCCAAAGTTACTATTGCAAATCCAGTGCATGTTACAAGAAATGACATTGATACGAATGCTTTAAGTAAAATACAGTTAACAGGAACATAGACACAGTGATGGTGTTGTTGGGACTGTGAGGCAAAGTGTGAAGTCAGGAAACAGCAGCTGAGAGAGGAGGGATCCAGGAAGTAAACTTCTTGAAAATGTGAAATGTGTCTGTCCATGAAGAATTTATCCACTGACTTTGGACTTCTTCTCTTGTTGAAATGGGTTTAATTAATGGGGGAAACTAACCTAAGCTAGCATATTTCCTTTTTTCTCTCTTTTTCTTTTCTGTCCCTAACCCTCATGAGAATTGTATAAATGTATGTCAAATTTCTGGCCTTTTCCAACGTAAAGAGCAGTTTTGCAAAGGGTTCGTTCTAGCGCTAATACAGTTTTCTTTCAGGAATCCTTCATCCTGTCCACTCTGAATCATTTCTCTAAATGTTGCAGATGTAATTCTGAAAACCTTTTATGAGTAAAGTTCACAAGTCCACTGAGACATGCTGCACATTTTTGTGAAAAAGGCAGACTAACAAGAAATGTAATTCAGAATAATGTTTGAAACCTATAGCTGCCTTCTTAATATAACATGTCCTGAACTGAGTCCGCACGCTGCCACTCTACATAAAGGGTTCATCCACACAGAGTCAATTATACTGCTGTGGTGATGTGGTTAGGGAAAGAGGAGACCATAAAACCACTGGCATTTCTCACATCTCGCCCATTCAGATACAAAAATGTAAAAAATCATCCCCCCTGCACACCAGCAAATGTGGTAGGACTGTTTAAACAGAAGTTAAACAAAAGCCTCCAGTGTTTGGAAAGTGGCTCATTATCTTGTCAGAATGCAGTGAAAGGAACAGAACGCTTCTGTTGAAGCTGTGTGGGCTAAAAAAGAAAGTTCCTCTTTGAGCTGCAGTACTAAAACATCTTACAAAATGTGAAGTCTCTGCTGCTGTTATACAATGACTAACTGACCTGCGACTAATAACAGGAAAACGTCAAATAAGGACCTGGAAAAATATTTTGAGAGGTGATCATTTCAGTAAATTCATCATTTGGAAAAGCAATCTTGTCTATTTAAAAGTATTAACCTCACCACTTGAGAGGACAGTGAACAAAAAAGGTGCAATTAGATGATTATATAAATAGCTTTACAGTTATAAATTATATATTTCAAAAACATACTTAAACTATAATTGAAATATAATTATTTTATCTCAAAAAGCTCAACGTAATAAATGGCACTAACAATCAATTAGTCAGCCACCAGAGGGCACATGATGTCTCCTGAAAGTCCTTTTTTGACATAAAAAAAGGCAGTAAAAGGTACCAAAAAAAAAAAGAAACAAGAGGAGAGCCAGACACTGCAGGACTGAAGCAACTTATTTATAAATATTATAATGTGGGGGGATAAAAAAAAAAAAAACAGTATTTTGTGAGGGAAAACCCTGAGTGCTGCTGGACAGACAGAAGACAGACAGGACTGACTGAGGGACAGATGGACAGAGACATGGAGAGGGGAACACCAGTCAGGATAGCCCACCGGTTACTGTTGTAGGAGGGGATGTGGCCCCCACTCACGGCCACACTTTTGCTGTTGTTGGCTAACATCGTTTGAAAGGAGAGGGAGAGAAGCAGATTATTGAGAAGAGCAAGATTAGAAAAACACACACCGCTAATAATGTTAATGCTACGAGCTAAAGGAAAGCAGGAAGACACAAGTAAAAGCCATGATACCAAAAAGGGGCATTTGTTTCATTGTAGTGTTCGACTGGTGCATTTTTTCCAGTATGGACTGTAAGCTGCAATGATAAGTCGACTTATAGATCAACATGAATATAAGGCAAATGCTATTTGTACCCGGGTAACTATAGTGAACAATGCTATTTGTACCCAGGCAACTATAGTGAACAATGCTATTTGCACCCAGGCAACTATAGTGAACAATGCTATTTGCACCCAGGCAACTATAGTGAACAATGCTATTTGCACCCAGGCAACTATAGTGAACAATGCTATTTGCACCCGGGTAACTATAAGGAACAATGCTATTTGTACCCAGGTAACTATAGTGAACAATGCTATTTGCACCCGGGTAACTATAGTGAACAATGCTATTTGTACCCGGGTAACTATAGTGAACAATGCTATTTGCACCCGGGTAACTATAGTGAACAATTATATTTGTACCCAGGTAACTATAGTGAACAATGCTATTTGTACCCAGGTGTACCCAAAGTAGTTTTCTTATGCAAAAATGGAAGAAAATTGTGTTTTTCAGACTTTCAAATATGGAGAATTCCCTTTTTTCTCAGTTTAATATCATATTAAAGTGAATATATGTTGGTGTTGGACAAACAACAAGATATTTAAAGATATTAACTTGCACAAACATTCTTTTTCTTTGCTATTTTCATTTTATAAACCACTCGATTAATAAAAAAAGGATCAGCTGATTAGTCCAACCGTAACTGCAGCTTTTGAATGCCGATTTTGTGAAGCTATTTTTAAATTCGATCATTTATTTTTGTACTACAATGTTTTGCCTATGGTTTTAATATTATTTGTTATTTTATAAATGATTTAAACTAATTGCTGATTTAGGAAAATTCTAGAAAGTGGTTTCAAAAAGCCGAAGGTGATGACTTTAAATAGTTTTCAAATCACAAAAAGATTCAATATACATTTCAATAATACAGGTAAATTGATCAAATGTTTACTTTTTGCGCAATTGTGAATTGAAAGAAGAGGTTGTTCTTTATCAGTATTAAGGATACTAAAAACCACAAGACAATTGGCAAGTGTGTATATTGTATGAGTTCACATTATATCCTACAGTCCAAAACTAGCAAGCCACATGTCTGGGAACAAATTAGTTTGATATGCTAAACAAATATGTCCAGGATCCGTAGAATTTTTCGGAATAATGGGTTGCAGATTAACATTTTCCAAAGGGGGGTTCGTTTAGCGTGAAACACTTGAAATAACTAAAGGATAAGTTAAAAACGAAAGTAGAAAGAAAGTGAGGTCAAAGAAAACTATTTATGCTAAAAAGTTAGCAATGATTGAGTCAGACCTAAACATTTCAGCTCACACTGCACTTTAACTTTTATTCATGTACCTTTCGTTATTCATGTTTTATTATCTGTGTTTTTTAAATGCCATTTTATAATATGTTTCTTAATGTCTTTCATTTTTGCAAAGCACTTTAAATTGCCTTGTGTTGAAAGGTGCTATATACATAAAATTGCCTTGCCTTGCCTATGGTGACGCATGAAATAAAATAAAATGGCATACTACTTTAGATCAGACTTGTAGTAAAATACTGAAATAGCAGAGTATTAGTTTGAAGTTGCCTCTGGTTTCAGACTCAGAGTCGACTTGATAAATGTCCCTTCTGGTATTACAGCTGTTTGCCTCTGACCCTCGTGCTGCAGCAGTACCTGGGGCAGGCAGCTCCATCTTGGTCTTCCTCAGCTCCGTCATGGACGCCTGCAGCTGATCCACCACAAAGTCGTCCTCGAAGAAGAAATTTTTGGACAAAGTCACCTGCAGAAACTCCACCAGCTCCTCCATGGACAGCTTCAACAGTTGCTCTGTAGAAAACATACACACAGTTAGACATTTATAGTGTTTGAGTGGTGGACAGCAGATGCTAGCACTGGGCCGTCAGCTCACTCTTGTGCAGTTTGAGGATGGTGTAGGACATGGTGGGCAGCACCCTCTCTCCCTCCAAAATGTAGATGTCCCAGATCCTGAGGGTGAGGGTGAAGGGAGTCTGCACAGAAAAAACACAACAAGAGGTGAGGTTATAATCGAAAACCAAAATTAGCAATGTTTCACTAGTTTCTTTCCTTCTCATTAGTTTCTATGATATAAATCAATGTAAACATTTTTAAACGCCTCAGTAATTTTTTTGAAAGCTAAGAACCAGGGGCGGTTCTAGGGGGGGGCAACTGACTCTGGACCCCCCTGAAAATGAAAAGTTTATGATTAAACTATTTCTTGGCTGACGGAATAGGCGGAGCTAACGTTATTTGTCATTCTAGTCAGACCCATTAGAGCGTTAAAACTGTAACCATGAGTATCTGAAGTAAATATGTATACTGAAACAATAACAATAACTGTATCGCATTGTTTTCTTATGCACAATTACTTCATACTGTCTTTGTCGTCCTGCATTTATTGGGCCCCTCTCAGAAAATAACTGGCCCCAGCCTGGCCCCCCCAGTCAAATTGGTCTAGAACCGCCACTGCTAGGAACTGTAGTTTTTAGCAGTCATTATTTTCATAGTTAAAACAGGCTGTACATGACAAGATAGTACAAAATGTAAACCGTACTTAAATGTTTTCCTCTGGACTTAAGTTTTCTTTCAACTTACTTATTTTTAGCACTCATTTTTTAACCAGGAGAAAATGCATTTGTTGGCGACTTGTTATTAGTGTCAATTCATTGGTGTTTCAGGGGTTTTGATAACAAGAGAAACCAGGCTTATCGATCAAAAGTGTCATGTTGATGTATAATTTAGAGTGATTTTGAAGTCATTTTTTCCCCCTGATTGTGGAATCTAAACATTAAATATGTCTTTGGATGGGACGTTTTCACAAAGAAATGTTCCTATCTGTCTGCAGTTTTATTTCATTTGATATGCCATATGTTGGTAATGTACTCACTCTGTCCAGGAAGCACTGAAAGAACCACTTCATGGTGTAGAGACTGGTTAAAACCTCCTGGGTGTCCTGCAGCCGCACAAACAAACAAACAGGAAGTACTTTTAGTGCATTTAGCAGGTTCATAAAGGTCTTTGTCCTACGATAATATCATATATTTCTGTGCACCTTATCAGAAATATTTTCAGCCAAACTAAAACAACAAAAAAACGTTTAATTTTCTTAAAACGGTACATACAAAATCTTTCTTTTGAAAAAATTAAAAAACTGTTAAAACCTATTGACAATTTCACAAAACACTTGAGTATGTATGTTGTTTTAATTTTTTTAAGTAATTCTTTAATACTAATATTTGTATATTTCTGGACATTTATATTTACTTGGTTTTCGATCATAATGTCTGCATCGTTCTGATTATTTGTTTAATTATTGTACTTTTTCTTTCTTTGGGAAATAAAAATGTGTACCGTATATGTGTTTTGTTGGAAAAAACTAATGCTAATAAATACATTTCTCAAAAAGAAAATGGAATTATGACTTGTACATACAGTATCTAGAAAAATAGATATACCCAATACATATTATTTGTCAAAGTATTACCCCTGAAGGCAGGTGTATCAAGTAATTCTACTGTAAATACAGGAAGAGCTTTCTCATATAATAACTTAATCCAACAGCTGTATTTGATCCCCGAGTTATTTGGATAGCCTTCCTGTACTGTGACCAGTTGTTGGATAATTCAGCACTTATTATTCATCTGCTCTCACCAGGTGCTGCTTCAGTTTGGGCATCATCTTCTTCAGGATGCGGTCGTGGTGCTCCTGGAAACGCATCAGCTTCGGGAAGCCCGGGATAAAAAACCCTGAAGTTGAGGACGAAATGGATCACATCGCATTTTGTCATTTTTAAACTGTTTTGCATTGTAAAGCCTACAAAAATGGGTTACATTGTGTATTGTACAATGTGCACATTTCTACTTTTTACGTAATATTTTTATTAAATTTGATTATAGCTGTTTTTAATTTTGACTTTTTATGTTAATATAAATACATTTTTTTTTTGTATTATGAACCTGTATTGCACATTCACATTTTACTTAACTTCTTTTGTTTAAAGGATATATCCTTAGTTTTGTCTCAATGAAGCTAGTGTCCCAAAACCAGATTTCCCCAGTAAATAAAGTATTCTGATTACATTATCGGCCGTATTGGCAGATATCTTAAAGAGCAACTTCCAGGTTAAAGACACCTGTGAATAAATGTGTAGGAAAATGATGAATACACTAGATTTTCCCAAAAATATACAGAAATATACACTACAGTGACATCTGGCGTCGTTTTTGTAAGAAATGTTCACTTCCGCATAAAAAAGCCTCGGCACGTGACCTCCCGCGTGTGACGTAACACGGGGGACACAAGGGTGAGAGCGGCCGGTGTAACGTATTAATAAACATGGATCCCAATGCTAGTTTCGACACAGAAGACACAGAAGAAGTTGAACATCAATATTCGAATGCATATGACGTAATTTTCAAGCAAGTTTAAGCATAAATGTAGAAAAAATAACAACCTGCAAGATGCTCTTTAATGTATTTATTGCTATCGGAATGTTAAGAGCATTCCATGGAATACAACAAAAAGTGTTTCTGAAGCGAATTACCTACCCCACCTTTAAGATGTAAAATATGATTTTACCAANGGAGCCAGGAGTGACAGCCACCACGCACACACAAACAACACAGACAGGGGGAAACAAACAAACACAAAGGAGACGGCTGGAGCAGTACAGCCACCACAGCGTTACCTAATGCAACTCCACACTACGTCTTACGGTGCCGTGTACCGGAGGTGTACCGGAGGAGAGAGAGAGAGAGCAGCGAAGGGGGGGGAGAGAGAAGTAATACGGTTTCCTGATAAAGCTGTGGAGAGTATGTGCTGCAGGGAGGTGGATGCACAACGCACCCAGGAACGAACGCTAGCTCCGGTCCTTTTTACTGTGGACTCGATGTCCTGACAGGCTGGTATTTGTGCAACCTGTACAAACACAATACTGCACCATGATTACAAATGGTGAAATACAATTTAAAACTGCCGAAAAATACCAGCTCCTTAAAACACAACCGCTCTACTCAACGCAACTCTCCTATACCCGCGGTCAGAGAGCGGAGATGTGTCCCCTGCGTGATGTAATATGACGCGTTTGACGTATGACCTTAAAAAAAGCCGTTTTTAAGAGCAGAGCTCAAAATTGCTCCTTTCCCTCTGAATTCCTGCCCTTATGTCTCGTAAAACATATCAAATCCTGCATTCACTTTTTTAATTGTAATTTTCAAGCAAGTTTAAGCATAAATGTAGAATAAATGAAAAACTGCAAGATGCTCTTTTTAAGTCAGGTATCAGAAGGTTATAGAAACAGAAAAAAAAGTGAAACAGTGCATCCCTAATAATATCATGTCATCACAATTATAGCAAATCGTTTTCAGTTATTAATGTATTTAGTCTTTTACATGCAGGAAACACTTGTGGGGTAGGACTTTATTTGAGCAAGTCTTGTATTTACTATATCTTTCCCCCCCCCCTTCGACTGCCAAGGCACAC